TGCTTTGTTCAAAGATGCAAAGCAGATGCAAACAGTATGCTGACATGAGGTTACGTGTGGTACCTTATTTGGAGTGAATGATACCTTTTAAAGTAAAAGCACTGCCTATTGATACCATCACTACATATCACAACAGCAGCCTGGAAAAGACTCTCTCACAATGCAGACCAATTAGAGCAAATTACATAAATCAGGACCCAGATCTGTTGTCTCTCATTTCAAGTGTGTGTGTGTGTGTGTGTGTGTGTGTGTGAGTAATAACAATAACTAACAATGGAATAAAAGACATAGTCTTAACAGACTATGACAAAGTTCTCCTAGCTGGCGATTCTAGCTTAAATGTGGATGATATCTAAGACTCAAGCTATTTTAGATTTATTGCACTCATTTGATTTTATTCAACACATTGTGGACCAACACACAACAAAGGCCATACTTTCAATATAGTCATCTCTAAAGAGTTAAATATTTTTGTCTCATCAATTCTAGATCTGGCTGTTTCTGATCACTGTTGCATTACAAGAGACATTACAGGAAAACAGAAGAAACAAGCAGCTTGAAAGGAATTGCAGCATAGCAGAACATAGATGGAGAAAGGACAAACTAAATCTTTACAACACGATCTTTAGCAAACAACTTGCTATGTACAACAGAGCAATGAAGATGGCCAGACAAGCACTTTCCTGTGGACACATTTCTGAAAAATATTCCTTAATAGTCCTCTCTTGCAGCCCTTTCTTATACAAACCTCTCGTCAAGGTCCGACAGCCTCTTGCTTGGTCATTTCTTTTCCTTTTCCTCTGTTAAACTCCTCTACAGTCTATTCGCCTCTGCCATTAAGTTATGTTACAGAGAGGCCTTTTGGTCTGGTTACAATATGTTGCTCTGGCAACAAAAGACTACAAATATTTTTAAATAAATATTAAATGTTTCTATGTCATTTCCCATCCCTTTGATCAAGGACAAGAGTCACATTCTGTTGATCCCTTCCTGCTTTTAATTGCTTGCCAGGTGATTGTTCATTCACATTCAAATCAGAGAACCAATCAGAGCTCCTTAACAGGGTCTGGGCAAGTACTGAACAATAAACAGGTTCTGTGCCGATGTCGTTAGTCAGGCTAAAACCAGAAATTTCAACCAACAAACGTAACACAAAGTGTTAACCAGGGTTGATGTAGTAGTAAAATAAGTTATAGCACAGCTATTTGTACCAACATGCCATCATACCTAAACAACAAAATTGGTCGATTGTCGACGTTGCAGAGCTGTAGCATTCCTCATGTCAGGCTGATATCTCCAGTATGCCACTGCCTGTTCACACTGCTGCTGTCTGGCAAGAAATACTAAAGCATCTGCTGCTGTACCACCAGACTACAAAGCAGTTTCTTCCTCAGGCATTCTCACACTCCACCATGTATATAGTTTTATTTTATTTTTTGTGAGTAGCATACAGTAAACTACAACTTAATCTTGTTATACAACACTGTGTTGTAAAATGATACATTAACCTCCCTTGTACTTTGTTTCAGGTGTGTCAAAAGTGGAAAATTGTTGACTATTGGACTCAAACACCACACCCATGAGACAAACACACACACTCCGTGAGAGGTATTATTTAGTGCCATGATCTCACATGCACACCAAGTTCATACCACAACATGTGAACATAATACTACTGACGCAGTAACTATAACAGTAGGTTGTGCTGTAAAATGCTGCTATTTTAGGATCAGGTGGTTACAGTAAAGCAGAGAGACAGAGACCAGTGCTGCGCTTAGGAGAGAGAGCCTGGCTAATGAATAACTGTGTTGACTTTACATTTTCCTATTTTACATCTAGCCATATAATTCGTACTTATTCAAACAGTAGTAGGCACCTGCTCTGCCATCAGAGGACAAAAGTGTGACTGACCAGCTTTGCACAAGAGAAGAAGCTGTAAGTATGAGCAATATGTGAAATTAAAGTTGACTGAAAGGGAAGCTAATCAATTTAAATAGCTAAGACATGGATTTTTCAAAAGGGGGAGCAGCACTTACATTTTTTTATTAAGCTGTTTAGATCAAGGTTGCCAAATGTTTGATAAGTTTGCAAACATATGTTGACATATGGAAATGGTTATAATGTGTCATTTTTGATAAAAAAATTACCATTTTTCCTGTTTATTGTGGGATTGAATAATACTTAAAGCTACGGTAGGCAATTTATTTCACTAACAGTTTGTTATATGTTGAAATTGTGAGCGATCAATGAATCAGATGTTTTGACACACAAATGAAGAAAAATCTTGTAGCTGTGGCAGGATTGTAAAATTTGTTGTCTGTTGCTAGTTCTAACTCTTTTTTTTTTTAATTAAGGGAATGAGATAGAAACTTGTTAATCAGTGAGTTCAAGAGGTTGCTTGAAGGTTGATTTAGTTACTTTCAGACAGCCAGGCTATCTGATCCTGACCTCTTTGTACAGTTAGCTGGAGCATGTTTTTAGTTGCACCAGCTCTTCATATGTTGCAAACGTCACTTGGTTGTAGTTTAGTGTTTACTATATGAGATTTACACATGCCTATTGTAGAGAATAGTTGCTACTAAATATTGACACACACTAACTGCCATGTGTAGTTGTTTTGTAGCTCACTGACACAATTTGTTGAACCTATGAGCAATTTAGACTGAAGTGGAAAAAGCGGTCCTTGGAAAGACTGTAGCATGTGAGGGCTGAGTGCAGTAGTTGAGAGCAGAGGTGTGGACCCAGATGCAGACACAAGCAGAGGATCACCAACGGAGCACGAGGAGCAGGGGTTGGCTGGACCACCAAAGGGGCTGGTGTTGGTCGGACCACCAATGAGGGATGTGAAGCTAGAGTCAATCAGGCCACTGACAGAGGATCTGGTGTCGGCTCTGCAGGACTGGGGTGCTCAGGCTCCTTACTGTCCAGTACCACCGCCTTGGAAACACTGGGTGGCCTGGGGGATGAGGTGCTGGACATCTGAGCAGCACATCTGCGGCGGCGGGAACCACGTCTCCATCCAGGAGGCCTTTCTGGAGGTGGATCAGGCGAGGAATCCGGGGCAATACTAGTCTCCAGGCTAGTAGGCCGCAGACTAGCTGCCCGTGCTTCTTCTGACTCCCTGGCCTTCATGCCAAAGAAGGTCAGAAGAGTCATAGTCCCACAGTCTCTGTGAGGGGTCAGGCAAGCAGACGGGCAGGCCAGGCGGGTGGCTAGCCACTGGGCCGCTAGCTGGCCGGGCAGGCCAGGCAGGTAGCTAGCCACTGGGGCGCTTGCAGCCCAGGGATCATATGGAAACTTACGAACAGGTGAGAGCAACAGGCCAGAAAGCTGAACGCGGTTGCCAAACTGAGGAGCGGAGTTGTGGAGGAAACAAAGAGCCCATAGAGGTAGAGTCCCTCAACCATGGCTTGGCAGCGACTCTCTCTTGAGCCAGTGATCCAAAAGCCTCCCGCTCAAGATCATTGGTTGCTTCCTTCCACAAAACCTTTATCTCAATCAGATCATACTCTAGTTCAAAGTTCATCTGAATAGTCTGCTGGGTCAATTTCTGTGTGAAGTCCTACTGTCAGGAGAGGGCTCAGTGCAGTAGTTGAGAGCAGAGGTGTGGACCCAAACGCAGAGGATGCAGTTTAACAAAAGATTTATTCTCATAAAACAGATACTCAGGCTACTCACAAGGGCAGGCAAAGCCCAAATAAAGGCGTAATCCACAACGAAACATAATCCAAGGGAACAATCGAGAGAACAAGGTACAATCCAAAAAACAGAACCAAGGCACGGCTGAACACTCATAAGACAAGGACGTCAATCACTGAACACAACTGAGGACAATATATACACACAGACAAACAAGCAGGGAGGGAAGCACAGCTGAAACACATCAGGTAATCAACAACAGAACAAAACTAGACAAAAAACACTAGGCACAGAAGATTACAAAATTAAACAGGAAGTAAAGTACACAGGAACACACAAGGACAGATCTACCAAAGGAAAACACAAAACATGGAAAGACTGCAAAATCAGGGCATGGACAGAGACCGGAACCAAACGAACACAGAAGTACACAGACCAGGAAAAACAGTAAACATCAACTAAAGCACAAGACTAAGAACTAAGATAAGAGACAAGACAGATACTAAGAAACTAAAGTGAATGAACAAGATACTAGATTAAGCTACAAAACCCTAAACATGACAAGATCAAATAAAGCTAAGAGAACACAGAACAAAAAAACAAATGTATGAAAACAGACTAAATAGGAAAAACATGAACACTAAACCAAATTCTAACATAGCATTATCTGACCTGACACACAAATGCTGTTTAATTATGTAAACTTGGAAGAGTATACATTGCGTTTCACAAAAATAATACAATATACATTACTGGTATAATTATGTGGTATAATTATGTGAACAGTTGAGAGTGGGGGGTTGTATATTTAGCCCTGAATACACCAAGCAGGTCCAGAAGTCCTGAATTTCAAGTCTTGATAGTTTCACATTTACACAGGTACTGTCACAAATTGTGATGCGAGTGCGTGGGAGAGCAGGTTGGTGGACCCAAATGCAGGACACGGAGAGCAGACATACAGTTCAGGGGGTTTTAATCCAACACAACAGGCATGAACAAAACTCTAGGTAGTAGAAACAGGTAAAATACAAAATGCAGAACTGGTAGCACAGAAACATGCAGAAGACTCATTGTTAGACAATGACCAGACGGGGACTAAACAGGAACACCAAACATATATATATATATATATATATATATATATATATATATATATATATATATATATATACACAGGGACTAACGAGCAGGGCAACACAGGTGACAGGGATCAAGGCTAACGAAGCAGGCAGGCAGACAGCAGGGAAAACAGAGAGACTGGCAGGCAGGCAGATTACTGGGGGAACAGACAAAACACATGTTACAAAATACCAGACAAGAATCTAACCCCAGACAATAACAGAAACCCATGTAAACAGACAACCACCAACCAACTATAACAGACAAAACCTAAACGAGAACACAGAGGCAGGGAGTAGAAAACAACATAACGGGCCAAGGCAGGACTGAAATTAGGATTAGACGGAACACCAGACAATTACAGAATAAGACCGGAACTAAGGCAAGCACAGATCAAAACCAAAAGACCGGCAACAGTAAATAAACTAACGCTGTGCAGACTGAACACAAGACAGGACTAAACAACAAAACACAACAGACCTTAATGACAGACGCAGAACTGACAAATAAACTCAGAGAACTCAGGACAGGATTGTGACAGTTAAGGCATAGATAATAAATAAATACTACTGTGTTGTTGCATGCATTTGTGGTCAAATCTGATTCTTTTTGTCTTCACATAGTACTTAAGTCAAGTACTCTTTCTACCTGTGACTGCACTTTGTGTTTGTTCTCTTTCACTTCCTCTATCAAAGATCTTTCTGAGCAACGGATCAACTAACTTTTTATTTTAACTGCTCTGCAGACAATGGAAAAACAGCTCCATTGCACCATCTGTAAGCAAGTGTTCACCAACCCGGTCACCACTCCCTGCGGGCACAACTTCTGCCAGGCCTGCATCCAGAATGTGTGGGGCAGCAGTGCAGTCTGCCAGTGCCCCACCTGTAACAAATCATTCAGCCCCCGGCCTGAAATAAGCATCAACACAGACTTCAAAGAGCTGGCAGACACATTTAGGAAGATCATAGTCTGTTCTTCGGCTTCACTGTTTGCTGCCAAGCCGGGCGAGGTGGAGTGTGATGTTTGCGCTGCGACGTTGCTGCAAGTAAAGGCCCTGAAGTCCTGTCTGGTCTGTCTGACCTCGTACTGTGAAGCCCACCTGGAGCCTCACCAGAGTGTCGCCACCTTGAAGCTCCACAAGCTGATCGAGCCGGTGAACAACCTGCAGGACAGGATGTGTAAGAAGCACGAGAGGCTGCTGGAGATGTTTTGCAAGGATGAAGAGAGGTTTGTGTGCCAGTTCTGCACAGAGACCGAGCACAAAGATCATCAGGCTGTTTCAATAGAGGACGAGAGTGGCGAGAGGAAGGTAGGCTACATAGAGTATACTCTGTATTGTAAGAGTTTCTGAAGACTAAAATAAATACTGATCTATTTACAGAGTATGCCTTGATGATGATAATAATATGGATAGTCATGGGAATTAACACATTCAACATGGTCTCTGTGCATGTCTTGAGGTAATGATGCAAAAGCCATGTTGAAATAGTCAGTATGGAACCTTTTTTAGTTGTGGGCAATGCATGATATGAAATCCAGAATGCTTGTACGTGTATGTGTAAATCCATGTCTACAGTCTCTTAAAGACAGAGTCGTAGTTTCCTTTGCTAGTGATGTTAGTGACTGTGGTTCTGTCCCGCCTGTTTAGATGCAAATGAAGAAGACTAAGGCAGATTTTCTGCAGATGATCCAGGAACGTCTGAGCAAAGTGGAGGAGATCAAAAGCTGTCTGAAGCTCTGCATGGTGAATTCTAATGGAAATCTTAATCGCTATCAGAAAGCAATCTTTAGCTGGTTACGTTCAGGTTAAATGCTGGCTGCCTCACGTATTTTAGAGCCACAGTGAATAGTTTGTTTAGAAAGTACTCATGTGTGCTGTTGATGTCACTCAAAAACTCTCTGAATTAAAAACCCTTAAAATGGAAACATTGATCAGAACAGGTACAAATCAGTCCATTGTGAATGTTTTTTTTAACAACAAAACAACAAAAGTTTTCAAGCAACTATTTTTCTTTACTGGCCAACTGTAGTGATGCAAAATCACTGCAAGATATTCCCAGTGTAGCCACAACAGAGTATAATAACAGAGGATGTCATAGGGATGTAAAACAAAATTTCAACATTAACAGAAATGCACATGGTAGGCAAAGGAAGTAGTTTTAGGGTATATTATATATTTTTTCCATTTTACATAGTCATGTTCACATTTTATTTTTTTTTATCGCTGTTCAGATAAGTGCGGAGAAGGAGATGAAGGAGAGTGACAGCATCTTTATGTCTATGATTCGCTCCATTGAGGAGAGACAAACTGAAGTCAACACAGAGATCAGTGAGAAGCAGAAAGCAGCAGAGAGGAGGGCAGAAGAGCTCATCAACGAGCTGCAGCAGGAAGTCACTGATCTGCAGAGGAGGATCACTGAGCTGGAGGAGCTGAGGAGCACTGAGGATCACCTGTACCTCTTACAGGTTACAATCAACCTTAAACTGTGAATACAGGGGTTTTAACTGTTAGCTTTTAAGTAAGGTATTAGAAGTAGGTTAAAGGAGAGGGAGAGGGAGTGTCACAACAAACACTGAATATTTGTAGTTTTCTGTTAAATATGATACAGTAATGTTAACATCTTTCTTTAATGTGTTTCCCTCTGGTAGAGGTCTCCCTCTCTTATGTCTCCTCCTCCCACCAGAGAGTGGATGGAGATCAGTGTCCACCCTGAACTCTGTGTGGGGACAGTGAGGAGAGCACTGTCTAAACTGGACGACACCCTGAAGAAAGAACTACAGAGTCTGAAGAAAGAAGGTAAAAGTCCTGTCTTGGCAGAACATGGCATAAATTGCATGTACTACCATTTTGTACTGCAAGAAATCATTGCACATTACTGTCAAACATACATCTAGCATAGGACACAGTTTAATTCAGCCTTCTCCTAAATATTCTTTCATGTTTTTACCTTCCTGACAGAGATGAAGAAGATGCAGAAATATGCCGGTAAGACCTCCCTCAAGATAATTGTTGTTTCATGCATTTTGGTATGTTTGATTGCTATATAGTTAAAAAATTGTGGCAGGATTTGAAATTTTTGGATTTTGGTGCCCGCTTGTGCTTGTACTGCAAAAACAAATAGACAGACAACAAAGCTCGCAACCACTCCCCCACCCACCGACCTGACCCGAGGAGGCTATTGAAGCACCACATAGACTGCACCAATATTCACCAGGATTGTCCAATTTTTCTACAAGGGAAATGTGCAAGAAACCATGATAAAGTTCCCTTCGGGATGCCCTTCCAACGTGAGGCACAACAGTAGTATAGTAGTATATATTCCTGTTGGTAATCTTTATCCCTGAGTGATGTGAAATTCCAGATGCTAATACTATATCAATGAAATAATACAATATTGAAACACCAAAAGTATATTTGCAATTTAAACATTTTTCAGCTATTACAGCAACTGTTGCATTTGTTTAAGAGCTGTAGTGAACTAAAGAGAAATTGTATATTGGCAGTCAAACCAGCAGGGATGAGGCTACTATAGACTCGTTTCCAATCCCAGGATATTTATGTTTAAAATCTGTGCTATTGTTGTAGGAAGGCTGATCAGTCTGACCAGACCAGGGATCTGTACAGACGCATGAGGAAACAAGCATTAGCAGTAGAAGTGGTAGTATTTGTTGCAGATTATGTAAGTAGATTAGATAATTAATGTATCTCCTCTACAATCTTATCTCCCTAGTTGATGTGGTTTTAGACCCAGACACTGCCCATCCAAACCTCGTCCTTTCAGCTGACGGCAAACAGGCGGGCCGTGGTGAGCCTCTGCACATTGTGCCTGACAACCCCCAACGTTTTGACCCCGTCATCTGCGTTATGAGCAAGAGAGGCTTCTTGTCCGGCAGGTTCTACTTCCAGGTCAGCCGCTTGTTTGAAGATAATTCTCGTATTATAGATAGCACACACATTTTGTAAATTCTCTCGCATTGTCAATCAGGTTGCAGTGGGGACAAAGACCTTCTGGGATCTGGGCGTGGTCAAAGAGTCTGTCAACAGGAAGGGGATGATCACCTCCAAGCCAGAGAACGGCTATTGGACAATGCGGCTGAGGAGCGGTGACGAGTATCGCGCCTTGGACTCCCCCTCAGTCCGTCTTTCTCTCAAGGAAAAGCCGCAGATTGTCGGGGTGTTTACAGATTATGAGGAGGGGACCGTGTCGTTCTTTAACGCGGAGGCCGGGTCTCATATCTACACCTTCACCGGGTGTTTGTTTTCAGAGAGGATCTTCCCCTTCTTCAGCCCGGGCATTTGCGATGAAGGGAAGAATATGGCACCTTTGGTTATCACAGCTGTTAATAATGACACATAAACTTGAGGAAGAGCCTTTGACTGCGTTGTGATGCTGCAAGAAAGATTTTGAAGTCTTGTTTTCTCTCTCTGAGTTTCTACTGTACATACACCAGCGTGTTTCAAATATTGCAACATTTCACATCCTTAATACTTGGCATTACGGCCTTGAAGCTTTTAGCCCTAAAAGAAAACAATCAACAGTTGCTGAAGATTTTGTATTAAACTGTAGTGTCTGCATCGTACATGGTGAGAGTGATGTACATTAATAAATATTTTCCAGTTTCCAGTGAATTATAGTTATAGGAAATACAGAAGCGGTAATGGATGAGGGTTCAGTAGTGAGGGAATCCACATTCAATATGAAGTACAGCTCACAACAGACAAAACATCACACTAACAGACAACATCTTGAAACCGGAAACACAGACAACCACAATCAGAACACTAAAACTTCACCAGCTGCTTAAATAATATAAACTTCTCCCTGAAGTATTTTACTATAGATGATAGGCCTATAGTCCTCATAGTGACATCAGTAAAGATTTTAACCAATATCTATTTTCTTGTTCTTGTTGTCTCTGAAAATATACTATCATGATATGCACCTTGTTTAATTTTAATATGGTATACAGCCATTTTTAATGTTATGCAGCATGTACACCACAATGCTAAATGCCAATCTTCAATAAATCATCAAACTGGTTCAAGATTATACATGTTTATGTTGTGTTGCGCTATGGACTCTAGGCTTAGGATAGCACTGTACTATGCAGTATTTGTTATGTAGATTTTTAATTGAATTTAGACAGGGGCTGCTGCGGATTCACTTTATACTGAGCTGATTACAGCTTTAACCTTAACGATCAGTCGAGGATATCATAAACATTGTGAGAATACTTTCATGACTAGTGTGTTTCAATCAGTGCTTCTATTGTGATTGTTTTTTTTAAATGAAGAAGGATTGCTTGTTTTACTCTTGACCCGAAACCTTTTCTGTTTTGCAAAACCTTTGCATCAGTCCCAACAGAGCGCCCATGTTTCCATGTGCTTTGCATTCTTAGAGGACATATTACAAATCATGCAAGGAAGATATCACAAATCACAAATTTTCCTCAAAGGGGACCCAACTATCCTTAGACCCTCGATTCAGGTAACGGAAAACTCCCACCCCCATGTTTACACCACTTGACGTACGTATGTCCAATATTCAGTCTTTTTTAGCTCTGTTTTGGGCTCTTACAACTCCTGAAAAATATGTGCCATCATTAGCTGCTAAATGCTTCACTGGCCAGTTAGCTATTTGCTAACTTTAGCTGCTGTTTGGTGCTGGACAGGTAGCATACAGTGTGTTTCTAGACCTTTCTCTCTAAAACCAGCTGCCTGCTGAGGCTGCAAATGGTTTACCAAAAGTGGTGAGACCTAACAAAAATGTTAGGCTGCAATGAGGTAAAAGATGCTAAAAACGCTCCATAAAGCTGAGGGGAAATGCAGATGTGTGATAGTTTTCACGGTTTTGTCACTGAGTGACCCCTTTCTTCTTTTATCTGTTGTTAAAATACACATATAGATTAGTGAAGCTTTGAAATATTTTTGCTGATGCATTTTGTTTAACAGAAGGTCACTTACAAAACTCTACTTTTGTCCTTTTTAATCTAACCCTAAGTAACCTGACCCCTTCTTGTCCATTACCAGTCAGACAGGGAAATTCTCTAAGGGAGAAAATGCTGGGCACCTGTTTTGAATATGGGGTGTGTTGCTTAAAAAGGCACAACTAAGAGACAAAAATCGAGAAGCACCTACTTCCTCCATCACAGGTGAGTTTTATCATCCTTACAATTGTATGACGATGATATTAATGAGAATAGTGCAACATCCTTTTGCTCCATTTGTTGTCATTACATCCATAAATGTGTCTTGAATTTTCTTCATACATCGTTTTCTTATAGAAACCACACATCATGGAGAGGAGCGTGTTTGGTGTTTTAGCACTCTCTGGTGAAGTAGTGATTAAAGATACTCTTCTCAGTTCTTACTAAGCTGTCTTTTCAAAAGTCCCTTTCAAACAAATATGCAAACAAACTGAGTTCTAAATGCTTACTTTCCCATTGTCCACAGGTCTGTGTCATTTAGCATTCTCTCTTTATCTCCGTCAGTACAACTACATCAGCGAGCCCAAAACTTGGACTGAGGCCCAGCAATACTGTAGAGAGAAATACACAGATTTGGCCACTGTCAATGACGTGCAGGACCTTGAGGAACTAGCTGGTCTCATTACATCTAAAGTTAAATACACCTTCTTCGGTTTGTATAGAAGTTGGTTTTGGTCACTGTCAGAAACTGACGACTACAAAGAGGGAGAACCGGCCTATTGGAACTGGGCAAGAGGTGAACCCACAGAAAAATATTGTGGGAGCATAAAATCGACCGGAGAATGGTTTGCTACAGACTGCAACTGCAGTTTGAACTTCTTCTGCTACAACGGTAAGAATATGATGCACATTAACATATTTTATTGGTAATGTAATGCTCTGCGGTCTAATAAACGCAGTTATGAAGTACTTTTTTTGCCAAAGAAATTCATATGATTGACGGCTGGTTACATTTTAAGATGTAATAATGCTTTAAAACCTCTGAAAACTTGTTTCAAACATTAAAACTTTTATAATCAGTATTTGTATATTCATCACAGAAGTGCATGGGCCAATGTGACGCATACCTTCGCTTTTTAGATGTTTACAGCATTAATAACACTGAAACTACACACTATATATAAAATATAAATATATAAATATAAACTACAGCACTATATATTCAGTGCTTCGGCCTTTCTGTGTGGGATTTGCATGTTCTCCCTGTGTCTGCGTGAGTTTCCTCTCGGTGTTCCAGTTTCCCCCACCATTTCTTCACTGACCAGACACTGCCATAGTTTTGGAGTTGGTCTCCGGGTGCTGCACAGCGGCTGCCCACTGCTCTCCCTTGAGGGATGGGTTAAATGCAGAGAATTAATTTCGCAACATGTATGTGACAATAAAGTATCTTTACTTATTCCAAAACTCTTGGAACTCTGTTTCAACACATTCGTTTCGAACACAGGCCTACATAAAACCTGCATGATGATTATAACTCAACGATTTATTACAAGTACCACATCTGAGCATAGAAGCACTGTTGCAGAGTGGAGCGGCTGTGCTGTAATTTATTTAAAGTTTATTTAATTCTAAATGTGTCGCGTGTCCAAATTGCACCAAACTGCGCTCCGTTGGGAGCACGTTAAACCAATGAGAAAAGCACAGGGAAAAAACACAAATACCAAAAACTGTTTCGTAGTAAAGGTGACCTATTAACAGTTTCAACAGTTTTTTTTCTGCTCTAATGTCATAAGAAGCAGGTTTTCTATAAATTATCATTTGCCTGAAGCCTGGCAACCGCTACGCTCAGTCTGTCTAATAGACGGTATAAAAGTGGACGTACTCATTGTGACGTCGCTAACAGTGATATGAACCTGATGTTAATTTTGGCTAGCGAAAAACAGGTTTCAAACAAAAGGTACTCCCCAGAGAAAATGAATAAGCTTGTTCAACAGTCCTGGTTAAATTAACACAGTGCCTTGGAAATAAATCACTCTAGCCTGATTGACAGGTCGCCGTGGTTGAGACTTGTCAATCACAAGGTAGTCCCGCCCTAAAGCATCCTCTGCTTTATGGTCTAATTTCCTCTAAATGGGACCATAATTTACTAAAAGGACATCCTGCTGTATTGAAGAAGACTTGAAACTAATGATTGAGACCATAAACTCATCAGGAAAGTCTTACCGAGTTAATAAAAAAGGTCATTTTGCCATTATTTCTAAAGGAACCGGACTTTCTTGCAACTAGAGGAGTCACCCCCTGCTGGCTGTTATGGAGAATGCAGGTTTTAAGTTATTTTTGGATTTACCACACTTTGCAGACCCGGTGTAGGTACCAGATGTGCTGGGGTGGTCAGATCTATTCGGCGGCCTGTGACGTTACCAGCAGGCGCAGGCCCCCGAGCAGATCTGACCAACTGAGCACAGCTGGCACCTACACCGGAGGTTCTTGCTTGGTCTGTCTGTAAAACAACAGCTTGGTAAACAGGCTTCAGGTCTTTGTAAATCAGAATCAGAAACTGCAATTGGCAGTGGCCATTGCAATTTTTCCCAAATATCTGCAATCACTGGAGGAGATGAGCTGTTTTTAAAAAAAGTAATTTTCAAAGCAAATGCATAGTAGAAATATAGGCATTACATTTGCGAAACATCCTTGTTCCAGCATTATTTATAAAGCTGATGGGTACCTGAATGTCACTGTTTCAAGAGACGTTTTTGTAAAAATCAAAAAGGAAACATCTGCTCAATGCTTAATCTTCACTGAAAACACAAAATTGCAATATATTATTATATTATATGTAAATGTTTTATTATTGTATGTAAATTATGCCAAAAAACAATTACTAGAGAAGTCTGTTATACTATTTAAATAATATGTCTTAGTCTCTGTCTTTTCCCAGATTGTGAGACAAAGTTAGCAAACTTAATACACATTAAAATCGTTCAACTTCCCCCCTTTTTGATTATCTCATAGACTGAATAAAACTCTTATGCTGTTGGAACTCGATGAATGTATGATTTACTCTGTTTAAACATCTTATTTATTCTATTCTATTTAGTTGGATCAATTCACATTTCCGTTGTACTGACAGTGGTATCAAGCCCATATACTATAGTTTGGACTAGCTTTGGTTTTGACACAGCTGATGTCATTTGCAGCGTTCACCACTGATATTTCGCAGAGGTTTGTTTTGGGGGACGGCTCAATGGACTGGTTCGCTGCTCAGACTTACTGCAGGAAATGGCACACAGACCTGGCCAGAGTGCAGAACCAGCTTGAAAATGAGGAGCTGCAGAGGAAAATGAACAATGACTCGGTCTGGATCGGGTTAATAAAGAATTCCTGGATGTGGTCCGATGGGAGCGAACCCTCATTCACAACCTGGAAACCAGTAGAGCCCATGCTTGGTGGACTTAGTGGCTGTGCTGCACTTCATGTCAACGGCGATCATCTTGAAATGACAGAGAGGGGTTGCAAAGAAAAACTGCCCTATTTTTGCTACAGTGGTAAACAGTTTTATCTATCTATCTATCTATCTATCTCAAATATTAGAACTATATACCGTATTATATAGTAAATGTCTCAATTTTTGAAACTATACATCACAAGACATGTTTAATGTAAGCAATTAACTCTAATGTGCCATGTATATAAGAATAAATGATGTGGTATTTATTCTATTCACGACACCTCAGAGAGCATTATCACTCTTATGACAAAGAACTGAATGTGAATCTCAAAGAAATCTGATTTGCATCCAAAATCACAGCTTCAAATCTTGGTTTGCATTTCTAGTTTATGATTTGTGCTTCTGAACTTGGTCTTTACGGTAACAAACGTTGGACAAATGTTCTACTAGCGGGGAATCGGTGTGGTGATAGACATAAAGACCAAGCTCATAAGAGCAAAGACAAAATGAGAAGCGCAAAGAAAAAATCTGCAATACAAACAAAAAAATAGATAAAACTCTTAAACTGTAGCTGTGGTTTCTCCACCTGCCAGATAATCATTAACTCTTGTGGCCAAATGTCTTAATAATAGTAATAGTTCAATATTTTGGGCGATAAGCATATTCACTGTGTTGCTGAGGGTTAGATGAGAATATTGATACCATCTACACATCATATTTGTAAGTTAAATGTGATTGTACGGCCAGCAGATGGTAAGCTTAGCTTGTCTTATCTTAGCTTAAAGACTAGAAACAAGGGGATTGCTATTATTGTTCCCTCTTGTTTCTCTCCAGCTCCACAGAGGAAACGCTTGGTGAGACTGAAGCTGACTGCTGACGACTCCTCTGTTGACATGACAGATCTGGCCGTGATGGAGTCAATCCTAAAATGGGTGATCACCACTTTTCACATTTAACCTTTGAAGAATTCCTGACGGCTTGGTTGAAGTCATGAAAATGCACCTGATGTTTATTACACACATTTTCCCACATAGAAGTGACAACACTCTCCAACCCATATTAATTTTGCACATGAAACTCAGTGGATAAGCTTGTGCAAATACAGTTTAGTTATAAATCTTAAAAGAATAACTAATAATGTGCAATGTGACCTTTAATATCTCTTTTTTGTTGCTTAGGTGGAGGGGAGGCTGAGTGATGAAGGTGCATCTCAAGGTGTAAAACTGAGCTGGACGAAGCTTCCAGAGAAGGAAAAAAAGACAACACAAGAGCAAACAAAAACATTCGAAGAAGAGTGTGTCCCATAAATCATGCATCTCATCTAATTATGTGTATTAGTCTCAGCTAGCTTTAATATCTGAATAAAAGATAATTCTTGTTTTAATATTTTGCAATGCCATAAATACATTCTAAGTTCTGTTTATTTCAATAAATCTCTGCATGTTCTAATTTATGCTAATTTGCATAAAGAGTTTATTATATTAATTTTAGGTGGAACTGAAAGTACTAAATGATCAACGTTCATCTAAAAATGTACTGTATAGCCTTTCAAAGATTAAATTATTTTGTACTTATGACGCCATTCATTGATATATCATTTCTTTATAAAGTATGTTTCCTCCAAAAGAGTGAAAAATAAAATGTAATGTAATGGTAATTTGTTGGGATGAAATAAATAGTACATTTTTCAAAATGTCTAAGACAGATGAGTTGAGAGTGAGAACATTTGAAATCAGCATCTACTTTGCATCCAGATGAATGACATCCTAACTCAAGTCTTTGCACTATAACTTGCATAAATTGTACTGAATTTATTTAGAATGTGTGTGTGTGTATGTGTACATACTACTGTACATGTACATAGATAAGTCTATGTTCTATTGTATTGTGCTTTGAGTAATGTATCTGTTCTAATTTAAAATATTTCACCTGTTTACAAATTTCCTGTGTGTGTAATGTGGAGGAACTTTATATATAAATTTTAGACACGTATAAGTGCATAATTATGTATCAGAGATGATTGTGAACAGCAGAACTTTACTGATTATTATATCGTCATGTCATGGAAACTGAGAAATCTGTTTTTGTCTAGTGCAGATGAGAGTTGGTACTCAAATACCAGATGACACAATATTCAGATTCTCAGTAGATATTTATTGATTGCAAGCAAGAGGCATCATCAGCATTACACAGATATTACAGAGAAGAGGCGGTCTCTCCTCAGTTCTTATAGTACTTTCAGATAACACACATCAGGACAACAACAGGACAAACAGGATTTCACTCTAGGTGTTATTCAGCCTTAATTTGCTTGGTGACATTTCCTTGGCTGAGGAGACATTGTTCTTCAGTTATTACACTACAATATCTATCACAATAACACATTCCACCTGCACCTTCTCCTTAAACTCCTCCACATGTACAGGATGTCTCGTTGTTGTGCAGAAATGTTTCTAACATTCTCAGAAGACACAGGAAGAGGTTTCAACCCCCTCCAGGCTAAACTCCTTAATATTGAGTTTACTTGTAATTACTTTCCCAACATCCTAAACATTATTGGCAGCTGTTTAAGTCTAAATTCAAATTTTCATGGCAATATAGTAGATTATTGCACAGTATAGCATCATTGATCTCAGGTTTTCGGAATCATCCTTCTGGTCATTGAATTCTTATGGTTTACTGACCAGAAAACCACTGAAGCTCGTGGTCTTGCCGGCTCCCCAAACACGATAACCTCCAGGCAGGCTCACATACACCTGGTCCCCTACTTCAAGCTTCAGAAATGCTGCATTTCCTGAGTTATCCCCTCTGTCAGAGCCTGTAGTGTTATATGTTGCAACAACGGTCTCGTCATTCTTCATCAGTGAAAGCCCTGATTTGTGTTCTCCAGCACAATAGAAGAAGGTAAAATAATACAATCCTTCAACAGGCGCAGTAAAGATACCTGTGGAAACAAAATAGTATTGATCACATATAAAGGTTTCTGAGAAGCTTTTTGCCTTAAAAGGTATTCAAAATTAACATCTGCCTGCTGCTGCAGGAAACAAGGACGATCACAACTGACTGAACCAAACAGTAAATGTGCTGTAAAAATCATCAGTTAGCTAAAAGAGGGTAAAAGGTTCCTTAGAGCTGATGGTCAGTGCATAGTCGGGTGATAACTCTGTCACTACCAGCACCTCCTTTCATCTGACATAAAGTCAATTCATTCATTGTTCATTTAGAAAATATTGATGTATTGGTCTGGGTTTACGCTGGTTAGCAGTAATTAGATTACTGATGTGATTTATGATACATTGTTACCAGTTTGAGCTAGTATGTAAAATGTCTCACCAATACTCAAACCAAAAAATTAACATGTGTGATGTAATTACCTGAAGGGGCATTGTAGGCTTTACCAATGTTTGTAACCGTTTTGTTGAAAACCAGAGTTTTGGTTGTCTCGAATGGTCCATAGGTCGCTCCGAGGTCTGCCACTGCAGTGAACATCACCTTTTCAACTATAAAACAAAACATTTTCAACGTGTTAATTTGTCGAAGCTTTTCTTTTCATCACAATACATGCATTGCATTGAGAGCAGATTGTAGGTTTAACTTCATACTGATTTTCTACCTTGTCATGTTAATTATGCTGAGAAGATGTTCAAATATGATTTTATGTGCTTTTCAAGCTAGAAAATCAGAGACACAATGTCCTGAATTAAGCTTAATTTATGTATTTATTTTAACATCACATTAGATTATTTCACATACAACAAGACTTACTCCACAGTGCACCGAGCAGTACTAGGTGTAGTGAGTCCGGGCAGTTGCCATAGGCTGGGCTCCATTTGGCTCTGCCATTTCTTTGCAGCAGTTAATGTGCAGGTGGTACATTAGGTGGCAAGTATGAGTTGAATGTATCTATTACCCGATTGTCAAACAACAGCAGGTATTGGAGGTGATGCAGCTGCTAACTTTACTGTATAATTTTTAAAGATTTTAGTGCTGGCAGAGACAGGACACTACCTTTTACATTTCCATTCATCAGCTACACACCATGTGAAATGTTTTTTAATTGACAGCACTGCAGCGTACATAAAAACGATGTGAACCATAAAACACCACGTGCACCATACACATCAGAGATGAATACATGTTTCACAAGACTACATAATGAATGAAATGTGTCTCTCTCAACATATAAAATTTGTTAAAAGATAAAAAAAAAAAAAAGTATCAGTACCATCTCCACTACCTGCAGCGGATTATCAGCTGATAGAGATTCATCACTATATCTGCCACCTCATGAATTTCTCTACCCGTGACACTACGTAACAGGTGGCATGATGGCGCTCTATTGAATTCCGCTTCACTATTGGTTTATATTTCCCCTTACTTTATGCAGAGCACAAATGTTTCCCTATCCCAGACCAGTCTTTTTCTGCTGTGCTCAACCTCAACACAACCTTACCCTAACCCCAACCAGATAAATATACAACACCTAAACATAACCTAACCTTAGTCCTAAACCAAACCACAGTGGGCAACGGAACGGGAAACTCGATTTGAACACTGTCAGCATGTTTCTTCTATGGTGTTCCCCAAGGCCCAATTTAAAAAACATATATTTGAGTCAGGATTGAAGTTTGACAAACAAATAAATCAGGCAGCAAAATGAAGCTTCATGCAGCTCCATTTCATCTCCAAACTCAGATCAGTTCTCTGACCTGGAGAAATTCATCCATGCTTTCATATCCTTCCATCTCAATTAATGCAACTTGTGATATTTTGGTCAGTCTGTGTTTTTTATACCATTTCAAAATGCATCAGCAAGAGTTTTAACAAGGTCAAAATGAGATGTCATATTACTTCCATTCTTGCCTCCCTAAACTGGTTGCCTGTTAGCTAGTCAGGATTGATTTTTAAATCCAATTGGTTGTTTATAAAGTATTAAATGGTCTAGCCGCCTTTTAAATTGCAGAATTCCTGTCCCCATAAAACACTGTAAGTGAAGTGAGATCATCTGGCCAAAGACTTCTGTCTGTCCCGAGTCCAGCTCTAATGTTATAGGGACAGGGCTCTCTCTATCGTTGCCCCAAAACTTTGGAATCCTCTTCCTCCCACTAATGAGATTTCCAAGAGTTGAAGATCTTGAAATACACTTTTACTCAATAACCTTGAAGTCTCTGTACGTCTGTGTTGACCATGTGCCTTAACTTTTCTCTTTATAATTACTATAATTTTTATTATTACTATCATCACTCTGACTTTTTTATTGCCGTTTGTTTCCTTCTTTGTTTTTGTTTTGTTTTCCTTTCTTTGCTGTGAAGCTCTTTGGATCAACTGTGTTGTGTGTAATGCTCTATCTAAATAAAGTGTAGTAAATAAAGAGTTTAGTTGAGTTAATACATTCTTCAATGAAGTCTACAGAGAAAAGGTTTCACTTTACCTGCCATCTCTGTCGGTCAATCACTTGTGTTGGGATACCAGGCAGACTGTGTTTCGCTAGTCTTGGCTCCGTCTCCAAAGCTGTGATTCAGAGGATGTCTGTTCCTGCTTTTATGTTGTTGGCTCAATGATGATGTGTGCCTGCCAAGAATTGGACTTTGTGATCCTTATCTTTAGATTAGGAAAAGATAAGACTTTTACGTGGCACAAGGTAGATTTTTTTGATCAGTTTACAGAACTAAAATTTGTAGATCCCTTTATGCTACTTGAGAAAACAAAGCTTATATACAAAGATTGTAAACAGATAGATGGGTTGATAAACAAGTCATAGAAAAAAAACAATTTTACATGGCGCAGTCTCACAGCCTCAAGGAGGAAGCTGCTTTGAAGTCTGGTGGTATGGTAGCGGACGGCCTTTACTTGTAGAATTTTAATAGTGTGTTATTGCTACTTTTACCTAAAGGATCTGGCCAACTTTGTTTTATAATGATAATAAAAAGTAGTAATAGTAATTACTACCATCACTACTAGCTGCAGTTAGCTTGCTACTAGAGATAAGCGGATGATGCCAAAGGTCCAAAACTTGTTTCACTCCAGTTGTGCCGGGTTATATGTGAAATTAAGAATTTCATGTGACTGATGACACCTGAATCTTCAGACATCACTGGTGCTTCGGATAGCACTAAATTTAGTTTGAGGGGTTTGAAAGTTTTACACTTAAACTCAGCACATAGTGGCATAAGAATAACAGAGAAAAATGGCAATATACATGAAAAAGACATAATCATAAGTATGAGGACTTTTACTTCTGGTAACAAGTACTAATACTTGTAATAAAATCCAGTAATAAAAGTAATGGGGAAAGTAATTTAATCACTCTCCAATCACACTAATATGAAACGTCATCATCTTATCGTCCATAAAAGTTTAAAAACATGAGCCCACAGTGGCTCTCAACACTCAACTAAACTACACCAAAAAGGTAAATTCATGATCGTGTCAACTGTCGGCCGCTACCACCCGATGTTCACTGTGTCTGCTGAGTAAATGTTCTTCATCTAAATTAAATTCAGAGTACTGAAGAGCACATTTTCTTGCCACTGATCCTTGATTTCCTGTTAGAGCAGCACAGATTATGTTGGCATGCATTCAGAGACGTGTTGCGCTATGGATTAACAACGAAGAAGACAGTCGCAGAACATTTAGATACAAAATATTGTATCTTTGATTAAAAAAATGATTTACAGAGTTGTAGGCATTATATTATCTCAAATTGCTTAAAAATGCATAAACCTGCCATATATGAGGAAAAAAGTCAGACCCCAGATTTGATTAGATGTCCAAATAATTTTTGCATTTTTTTAGCTCACATGAAAAATCTAACTTTTATCAATAGTCAAAGTGATGATTTTAAATTTTTTTTATTGTGCTTAAAAAGTGTTACACTCAATATGTATACATATCTTTGATATTCAATGTGTTATGAGTTCATAGATAAAAAGAAAGTGTACTTTATTGCATTTTCTGAAATACTGCCATTTCCTTATCACATGTTTATAATGACTGGTGACAATGTTTTTCTTGGGAAAAGTCGGGCGTGCACTAGGTACTGTTCAAACAAGTGTAAAATGTGGCCCTGATTAGATTTCCGAATACATTTCTTGGGAAACTTTGGGCTTTCACCAAATTTGTTTTCTTTAACCCAGATACATCTTCAAAGAGAGGACATAATATTTATCTCTATTTAACCAAATTGTGTCCAAAGAATATATTTAGACTGATAAGGAAAAATGCCACACATTTGTTCCGATTGGTCTCAAGTCTTGAAATCTGGTATGGACATACTTATGGCAAGTATCTAATAGTACAAATTTGAACTCTTTAGCTCACATAAAAATTCCACTTAAACCAATGCTCAAGTCACGATTTTTAAATGAGGAAACACAGAAATTGTGTTTATTGAATGTTTTCCATAGAGTGTTGTTTAACCTTCATATGTGTGCATATCACTCATATTCAACTTGTTCTGTGTTCACAAATATCAAATAATTGATGTACTCCTTGAGGAACAATCATACAGTCATCTTGAGATACAGTCATATCCTTTGCAAATCATTCGCAGTTATATTTTTCTGAGGAAAAGTTGGGGCGTGCACTAGGTACTGTTCAAACAAATGTGAATTGCGGCCCTGATTAGATGCCCGAGTACATTTCTTGGGAAACATTGGACAACTTTGTTTTGTTTAACCATGGTTACAGCTTCAAAGTGAGGACATAATATTTATCTCTATTTAACCCAAATGTGTCCAAAGAATATATTTAGATTGATAAGGAAAATGGACATTTTTTTTTCTGATTGGTCTAAAGTCTTGAAATCAGGTATGGACATACTTTGGGCACGTATATAATAAAAAAATAGATAATCCCACTTCAATCAATGGTCAACGTAAGGAAAAGCGCTTAAATTGTGTTAAATTAAATGTCTTCCATGGAATGTTTATTAACCTTCGTATGTGTGCTTATCACATATTCAACTTGTTCTATTTTCACAAATACCAAATACTTGTTTGTTGTCTTTGAGGAACCATCATATAGTCATCTTGAGATACAGTCATTTCCTTTGCACACCATTGCCAATTGCATTTGTATCTGAACAATGTGGGCTTTCACTAAGTAATTATGTTTGTAGGAAACTTTGGGCTTGCACCCATTTTTTTTACAGAAATTATACTGGCAAATATCTTAAACATTTTTACACATTCAAGTTTGATTTTTGTGTGTGAATGTCCACATTTTTTTAATTCATTGAGTTACCACAGAAAGATTTACAACGCAACAGTGTGACAGTTCTAGCAAACGGTTCTCTCATTTGTCCCTAGTTTATCACTTCTAAATATTACAGCATCTAACGCTGTCCGTTGCTACATTAGCCACAAAGCTAATCAGTGGGGGAGCGCTAACGTTAATGAGCCGTCAAACTATAGTTTCTGATGTATTTTAAATATATCTGCGAGCCGTTTGTTTGTAGTTTTAGTCGGCGTGTCAGAAATGATTAAACCAGAGCGAACATGTAAATAAACATGAGTTGAACAAGAATCTAACACGGCTTCCTGCCAGACAAAGTTGAAGGTCCTCGTTGTAGACAGTCATGTAGTATTAGATGCATTCAACAGCAGGTCACTGTAACGTTATCGCAGACCATAGACTGTATAAAAGAAGTGAACGTAGTCATCGTGATGTCACCCGTTGGTTTGTGGTCTGCCGTTTTGAAGCCTCGAGTTTGACCTATAGGCTGCCGCCATGTTGATTTTTTGCAACCAGCGGCACTGGATGTGACCATATTTGGACGATATGGTGGAGCTGTAGGTGCATCTGTAATTCATGTTAATGTCATTTTAACAGGGCTGACAACTTTGTCTAGCGAACAACAGTCTTAAAACTAAATGTACTCACCAGAGAAAGTGAACAGCCTACTCCTAATAAGATTTTTCAACGGCGCTGGTTAAATTTACACAGTGCCGTGGGTCACTCTAGCCTGATTGACAGGTCGCCTTGGTAACGACTTGTTAATCAATAGAATAATAATCCTGCCCTGAAGCATACTCTGCTTTATGGTCTATTTTCCTCTAAATGGGACCATGATTTAATAAATGAACATCATGTTGTATTGAAGAAGCTAAAACTAGCGATTGAGACCCTAAACTTATTAGGAAAGTGTTTACTGAGGTAATAAATCAGGTGAGAAGTAGGGTCATTTTACCATTATTTCTAATCGACTTCTTTTTGCAACCAGAAGAGTCGCCCCCTGCTGGCCGTTCGATAGAATGCAGGTTTAAGGGACTTCCGCGTTTGCATCAGTTCTCTGACTGGAAACTACCCGCTTGGTTTCTATGCCCGTAAATCTATGCAACCTTTCTGTCGGGCATGCCGTAGACACTGTAGGTGATGGTGAGCAATATGTAAAAAATGATTTTATCATTGTGTGAGCCAGTCGAGTGAGATACTTATTTTCTGTTTGGTGCGTGTCTTTTAACTGTGTGATTTGGTTTTTCAGTGCCTATATTTAATTACTGTTGTGCAGGTTCTGTTTTGTAGTGTTCTTTTTTGAATGGTTTGTTTTATTGCGTTGCTTTGGACTTTTGCATGTTTTTATTTCGGGGGGCTGCTTTTTTTTTTTTTGAGTAGTGTGCTTTAACTCTAGCCCCCAACAAACTAACAAACTAAAAAAAGTCAAGGGCAACTGGACTTGGTTGAAGATACTGGAAGATGTTTCGTACCTCAGTGGGAGCAAACGTATGAGGAGCCCCTAGGGACATTATTCAGAATTACCATGCATATACATGTACTTTTCCTCTCACATACACATATGAAACCAAACTCATTCACATACTATACTGAAAAGCTCACACACATACAAGTTAAATGCTTTTACACACACAACTGAAAATATTACATTCACACACACAACTGAAACGCTCTCACATACACAACTGAAATGCTCACACACATACAACTGAAACATTCCCACACACACACAAATGAAAACCTGACACACATACAAGTGAAATTCTATGATTGGTCCCAGCCAATGATCCCAGCTTGCACTTCAGGTAAGTTAACATTAAAGCTATACACCAAAACTTTAAATAATGATTTATATGTTATTGACATTATACATAAGATTTAAAATTCCTATTTACTGTAATTGTGGTTTGCAACACCACAATTGTCTAAACGTGAATCAGCTTTAAACTAAGTTCTAACTGTTAAATGTCTAACAAACTATTTGAAGCAAATCAATTAAACCTGAATTCAGATTTTCAATCATTTGGATGTCACTTTATTATAGTGTTTCTTTTAATAAGTCAGTCGTAAGCTAATGTTAAGTTAAATATGGTAACATGAGCTATTTTGCCTGCATAATGGTAGCCATAGTTATTATTTCCACTTTTTGGCCTATTAAGGCATTAAAAGGCCTTCTCTACTTCTATTCCCACTCCCTGCTAGGAAGAGCAGCACTGGATCTCCTCATCGTCCACTGTGGTTTTAAACATCTGTGTTTTATGTCCATTAAAAAAATGGTTTATGGTTCCCATTGCAATAAATTCTAAATATATTTTTACTTTAGACTTATTTTGTCTTTACTACTGACTGAAAATGT